CAGGATAGAAGACAGAAAAGCCATGCTTCATTTGGTCACAAAGGGACTTTCAACTAACTTTTGACACACTGGACCAATTTGTATGATTTTGACGTATGTTTGTATGTTTGTATTTGGAGTATGCTGATTCTGAAAATGTAAGTGAATGTGATGTATACTTTTAGAGTTATGAATATTGTGTAAAACTGTGTATTTTCCTGCCTGTGATAATTAAGTTAGACCATTGTGTTCAGTAATTATATCACAGACAGAGGGGATGATTTTGTGTGGGACTGTCTGAGTGTATTGTATGTATTGATTGGTTGTTCTGCAAAACCCTGTGGGCAGTACTATGTGTGTAGAATGTGAATAAAAGAGGCTGGATGTGCCAGTACAGACAGTTCTACTTCACCCTCAATTTGGAGTGCCGTCTCTTATTGGGGTAATCTGCTACAAGGGATTGCTATGCTTGTCATACTCCCTTGCTAAATCAGTACTACGCTCTTGTAAGAGCTTGTTCCTGCCTTGCTCTCTGGAGGAGTCTATGGTGGTTATGGTGTTGGCTTGAGTGCTTGGAGCCCTCAGGAAGTCCTAGGAGCATCCATCAAGTGTTTGCAAGTGTTTGATATCCATGAGAGCAGAGTATTTTTGTGTGTTTTTGAATAAAAGATAAAAAGGTGATGCCATAAAGACAAATTTTCACAGCTTATTTTCTCAAATTTACCAGGGGTCCCAATATTGGTGGAGGGCACTGTAAAAATTGGAGGAAATGCTAATATGAATAATATCACCTCCCAAAATGGGAGGAAATAACACTTTGATTCATTCAGCAATGTGAATAACTGTGGCCAGTGACGTACTAACTGGGGGGGAGGAGGAGGAGAGGGCGGTTCGCCCCGGGTGCCACTTGCTAGGGGGGTGCCATCCAGTCGACTTATTCCGTCTGGTCTGAGCCTCAGACACTGAGTGCGTGCGCCGCCACGGCAACAGCACGCTTAGCAGCAGGCAGGCAATCATGCCTATGATGAACTGTGAATCTGCTTGCTAAAAATTATTTTTTTTATATAACTGTAAGAAATTAGACAGGGGGTTTGTGGGGGGAGCAGGGGTTTGTAGAGAGGAGAGCAGGGGTTTGTAGAGCGGGGGGCAGGGGTTTGTGGTAGGGGGAGCAGGGGTTTGTAGAGAGGGGGCAGGTACCTGTGGGGGAGTGACCAGGGTTTGTAGAAAGGGGGCAGGGATTGTGGAGGGAGCAGGGGTTTGTAGAGAGGGGTCAGGTACTTGTGGGGGGAGCAGTTGTTTGTAGAGAGGGGCTCAGGGACTTGTGGGGGAGCAGGGGTTTGTAGACGGGGGCAGGGGTTTGTAGGGGGGTGTGATGACCACCTGTCACCCCGACTGGGTACCTCTGCCAGTCGATGCTTCCTAGCTGACACTGAGGACCATAAGCACCACACCAGACACCATAAGCACCGCAGACCCCACGAACCGCCGCAGCTTGGTTGGGGTCTCGCCGTCTGTAATGGACCACATGGCACCCCGACTTGGTACCTCCACCAATCGATGCTTCATAGCTGACGCTGAGGTACCGTAAGCACCACACCGGACACCATAAGCACTGTAGACCGCACGAACCGCCGCAGTTTGGTTGGGGTCTTGCCGTCCCTTCCTATCCTAGTCCAAACTCCTGGATCTAGGGACTAAGTGGGAAGGCCTCTCCTCCAAGAGAGTAGAGCTGTGAAGCTCTTACAAGAGCTAGTGATATATTTGTGAAGCAGGTTCCCTACAAGCACTAGACAAGGCCAAGTGTTGAGGGTTAAGCAGGAACCGCCGCAGCTTGGTTGGGGTCTCGCCATCTGTAATGGGCTACCTGGCACCCCGACTTGGTACCTCCACCAATCGATGCTTCATAGCTGACGCTGAGGTACCGTAAGCACCGCACCAGACACCATAAGCACCGTAGACCGCACGAACTGCCGCAGTTTGGTTGGGGTCTTGCCGTCCCTTCCTGTCCTGGTCCAAACTCCTGCATCTAGGGACTCAGTGGGAAGGCCTCTCCTCCAAGAGAGTAGAGCTGTGAAGCTCTTACAAGAGCTAGTGATATATTTGTGAAGCAGGTTCCCTACAAGCACGAGACAAGGCCAAGTGTTGAGGGTTAAGCAGGAACCGCCGCAGCTTGGTTGGGGTCTCGCCATCTGTAATGGGCTACCTGGCACCCCGACTTGGTACCTCCACCAATCGATGCTTCATAGCTGACGCTGAGGTACCGTAAGCACCGCACCAGACACCATAAGCACCGTAGACCGCACGAACTGCCGCAGTTTGGTTGGGGTCTTGCCGTCCCTTCCTGTCCTGGTCCAAACTCCTGCATCTAGGGACTCAGTGGGAAGGCCTCTCCTCCAAGAGAGTAGAGCTGTGAAGCTCTTACAAGAGCTAGTGATATATTTGTGAAGCAGGTTCCCTACAAGCACGAGACAAGGCCAAGTGTTGAGGGTTAAGCAGGAACCGCCGCAGCTTGGTTGGGGTCTCGCCATCTGTAATTGACTACCTGGCACCCCGACTTGGTACCTCCACCAATCGATGCTTCATAGCTGACGCTGAGGTACCGTAAGCACCGCACCAGACACCATAAGCACCGTAGACCGCACGAACCGCCGCAGTTTGGTTGGGGTCTTGCCGTCCCTTCCTGTCCTGGTCCAAACTCCTGCATCTAGGGACTCAGTGGGAAGGCCTCTCCTCCAAGAGAGTAGAGCTGTAAAGCTCTTACAAGAGCTAGTGAAATATCTGTGAAGCAGGTTCCCTACAAGCACGAGACAAGGCCAAGTGTTGAGGGTTAAGCAGGAACCTCAATTTTATGGTGCCACACTGGCCTTTTATGACAATCCCCAAGCAAGGTGTACGCCCATATGGACCTTGTTGGGGACAGGGACACAAACGTATCCACCAATCACAATAGAGTTACAATCTAAGGCACCCCCCCACATAATACAATAAGCCTTCCCCTTTACTTAGGAGATAATTGAGTCAAGCATACTAAACTCAATTATCTCCAAACCCAAATAACACACATTTTTACAAAACCTTCAAAACACCTTAAAAACACATAAAATCCCCACATCACCAGATAGCCCTGATCTGGGTGACCAACATATCCAAAAATCACCCAGATCAGTTCAGAGGTTCACAAATTTTATGGAAATCATATATTTGACCGACCGCAGGCATGGTCCCATGCCAAAAACTGTTTCAGAGAATCAGGGCTTGTGGCCGGTCTAGTTTGGTAGTTTGCAAACAAACTACCGAACAGAGTCAATAGTCTTACTCTGGAGCTTGTTCCCTTCATCCAGACGAATGATCTCACCAAACAGTGCCCTTCTAAGCTGAATACAAATGAATGCAAGTGATGATGGTGTCCAGCGGTGTTCGGGAGTTTCTGTATTCGATTTCAGTTCAATAAGATTCATGCCCACCCACCGCTGCCTGCGTTTATGCAAACAAGATGGCCGCCACCTCGTGATTGTTCATAGGAATCGCGGCCTCCCAGACGAATAATTAGAACACTGCGGTG